GTTCAAAAATCTCAGTTTCAAAGATTTTATGTGTGTGTAGCTGCAAAATGGTTCAAGTAAGACTAAGACTGGTAAGTAAGCCTTTTTGGTTACAAGAGTTCACAGGTTTCTCGCAAGGTGGCCTATTGGTGTCCCACCAAGCCGAACTGCCAAACCTGATTGACGTTGTGTGAAAGAAGGGCGTTTGGTGGTTTTCCAACACGGCTTAAAGCAAGGAATCAATCTAGTGAACAGGAATTTATCGTCAGATAGTGTTCTGGCTAACGACGGCATAAACGAATTGAGCAGGATCATCGCCCTCACTGGTCCTGGATCAGTTTGACTCCCGCACCAAATCACGTGCTGGTCTGAAGTTCTCTTGACCAAAAGGAATGTCGTCTCAGACGATGAAGGACGCGAAAAGGGTCATCGCTGGAAACGAAGATGGAAGTGGGCAGAAATTTGGGCGCAGTACGGTCTGATGAGGGCATTTTCTTGGTTCCCATTAATTACTGACAGTGCCTCCTGTGGAGACCTGTCAAGCTCTGTGAAGCTGTGCAGTAGTAGGAGCTCCGTTCACACTTGATAATAGTCTACAAGTCTCACCAAGGCAAAACGTGTAAGTTAATAGCGAAGTAACTAGCTGAAGTACCAAATGCCCCTCCCAAGCCGATCAGCGCCGAAATTGTGCTTGCTATTTGATTTGCCACACACAAACACATTCGCTTGAAGTTCTAAACTTTCAGCGAAACTCTCTCAGATGGATGTCGTTGTGTGCTTAAGTGACGCTGAATATTTTCAGTACATCTTTTTAGGATGACAGCGCAGGCTCAATCGGGCGACGATATGCACGAACGGATGAGATTGGAATTCCTTTCGGCATTACGGTAGACTTTGAATCAGAGAAAGAACCATGGACGGTGACAGTACGACATGCTGAGAGTATGGAACAAATCAGAGTAGAGGTGATTATATTGGACTGTTTATCGATTTTACGAATGGAGGAATTGATCCGTTTGTTTCAGCTGACAGAAATCGGAAATCTTTTGTTGGCACTATCCACTGAGCGAATGACTTGGCACACAGCGCAACAAAAGTATCCTAAATTTGAAGCCAAGAGTGACTAGATGACGTCATTTTTTCGTTTATCATTGATCTATAACTTATTGAAAATGGTTTTATTGTTGAGTTGCTTCTTCAGTGCTTTTGGTAATGTTGTTATGAATGCGTTTTTATTACAAAAAAGATCTAAATAATTATGAAATTATCCTGTTGTTTTTCTTTAATTCTGATGGAAAAGGTTGACTGTGGTGATAAAAGATTTCTGACCAGCGTTTTTATGGTTTATGGGTGAAATGGCTCTCGCATTACGAGAAGAGGGTCAATTAAGGCTGGCCAGGCTAAAGCAAGCTTCCCATCCATATGAAGGCTAGTTCTGGCTGACTGTGTGGATATGGAAGGGGGGGGGGGGTGACGCGTCGTCGCACTAGTGCCCATTCGTGACTGGTTGCCACCCGTTATTCCAAAAGAGTACGCGTTTTCCCGGTTCGAGGGTCTGTCAGCGAAGGATGCCTCACACAGGTTCGAAGAGGCATAGGCGACTATCAAGAGGTGAGGGGCTGCAGACTGAAAGTGCGCGGTTGGTACAGCTGACTGCCACGTTGCGCGTGGTTGTATTGGCTGTTGGAAGAGTTTACTGGCTATGGTAGATAATTTGGTGAACTGACGTTTGGCGAAAAGGAGCGCTTTACAGGCTGCGGAGGGGTCCTTCCCCCTCCCGATAATTCGGATTCGCGTTTTGTGAGCGTCAGCATATTTAAGTGGATTTCAAGCAGGTAAAGAATTTCATTGAAAGGAGCTTTCATTTGGATAGACTCGTACGTCGTTTTGTTCTTCCACTTGGGAGAATACGCTTACGATAGGGACAGATTTTGGCGCGTGAAAAACGCTTTATATTGTGATGCAACGAACAAAGTGGCTGCCATCAGCAGAGTCCCGGAGCAGGTTATGCAGGTTTGGATTTATTGTTAAAGATGAAGTTTGTGTCGACTGCTGATTAGTAGAAGAGAGAAAGGTTAATGATTTGTTGGTTACAGTGGTTCGCGACTGCGAGGGGCTGTAAACTAAGCGTAGCGCGCGACATATTGGGAGTTTCTCTCTGTTAAAACTACTCCAGTCAGAATAAACTTATCTGCGTGGCAAAAGATAGGACACCGAGTCCACGATCGTTGTAAAGGGGGGGGGGCAACAAAAAGACACTTTGGCCCGAGTAGCATATAGATAAAGTTTACGCAGTCGACGAAGACGTGGTACGAGTACGATGCGGAGGATATAGAAGTTTTCGATGAAGAAGAGCAGCTGCTTCGTTATTAGCCTTCATGTACACGATAATATGAAGCCATCGTAGGACCGGGCTGAAAAAGGCCTATGGAATTCACGTCACCTCCTAAACAGCTGCGAAACTTCTTGTATGGAGTCACCCATGGACAGCTACCTGGGACCGCACTCTTGATCTGGAAGACCTCCAACATCGAGCAGCTCCGACAACGTCGCTACGGTCCAGGATATCATCTTCACCGCAGTCGCCAAGGCGCGGTTGATGGTATGGACCGGAAGTTCCTGGAATGGGAAGACCGATATTTTCTCGTGGACCCGGACTAAAGGTGAACGCTGACGGTTACATCGACCAACTCGAGGAGAATATCCTGCCTTCATGTCGTCGCCTGTACCATCTTGGAAACTTCGTACTGCTACAGGATTGGGTGCCAGCACATGGAATCGAAGGGCGTTGGAAAAACTCTCGCCTACTTGGAATCGAAGGGCGTTGAGAACCTGAAGAAGACGGAATATCCAAGTGTGTCACCTGGCCTAAACCCCCTCGATCACCGGGTTCGGGTGGATCTTAACAGATGCTTACAGTGGCAGAGAAATGAACGGCTCGCTGAACTCAGGCACCGAATCACGGTCGCGTGGCAGAATCTCTCGATGGCGTTCGTCCAGAAGGCTGTGGCGGAGTATCGTGATAGTGTACAATGTGTTGTTGAATTTGGTGGTGAAAATGTCCAATCAGAATTTAATAAAGTGTAACTTATATCGCCTTGAGAGTCGAGAAAGAGAGCGTCTTTTTTATTGGCCCCCTGTATAGATGAGAAACTAGTAGGTCACAGACAGTACACTTTTACAACTGGATGTTCAGCGTAATGACCCAAACAAGAGGGTTGCGTAGTTGAGGAAGACTGCTGATAATATGAACTCGACTGCCACCTTGAAAGCAGGGCACATCGTTGTTGGGGAATCCCCAATAGGGAGGGGTCGTATTTACGTTTTGGCGTTGTGGGAGTGGCGGTTGACTTTTGGTGATTTTCCTGTTTCACGTACTATATGCCCCCCCCCGCTCGACAAAATTTTTGGTAAAAAGTAGGGAAGTTTTCGGGAAATTTTGGAAAAAAGGGGCAGGAAGTTGGGGAAAATCTGATTGTAGAGGGGGGGTCGTATAGAGTCGACTAAAATCCCCAACCAATGATGTGCCCTGCTTGAAAGTGACCTTTAGCGCATCACTGTGCCATCGCTCAGTCCCTACTACACGGGCTATCGGCTGAACCCACTGGACAAAAACCACCTGTAACAAATGGAGACGTCGGCGAAGCATGTCCCAGCGCCTTGATGATACCACAGCACAGGTGACACAATTGAAGATCCTTCATACAGGAAACGAATGGATCCACCAGGAACCAAAAGAGAAGGATAGCGAAGGAGTCCGTCAAATATGTGCAGATAAAAAACCATTAGATAGCCTGAGGCGATCAAGACAAGAGTCCCCCTGGGTAGTCATCGGGTTCAGCGCCATGGAGGCGCGGAGTTTGAGGTGACGGTTTTGATGCGAGAACCACAGACTTCGGCGCGCAAAACTTTGGAAGCGTTTTGGATTAGCGCTAAAAATCCCAGAATGAATAGAAAGGACGAATGCCTGACCATCACAAACGAGCTCGCCCCGTTTGCTGACCTGTGTGGGCTTCAGTTGCCATCGGCATCAAGTAGAGCGGTCAGGTCAGCTGAAGCCACCGACGGGGAGTCTATTTAGCGGTGGTCTCAAACAAGAACCGGTCGTGCATTAAAGGTGAGTCGTTTGTGGTTGTGTTCTATGACTTTCTGGATCCTACTGGTCTGGGACTAGCTTATCTGAGGTTTGAAATGATTTCCGAGGGTAGTTTCACTTTGATTTTTGACTTTTTCCAGGCTCTGACGAAGGCGATAAGGCGCCGAAACGTTAGCCAATAAAACTCCAGCTTTCTCTCTCTTGCAAATAAAACTTTTATACCATTCTTGCGTTGTACGGCTAAAGAATAATCCATATAGGATAAACGTTACTGTTCAAACGTTCAACCAGAAGCATTTATCAGCCATAGTTACTGTACCGGCAGAGTATGCCTGCCAAGGTGTTACTGTACGTAGAGTAGCGATTGCTATCCCCAACTTTCTCACTCCACGATCTATCAAGTTCAATTTCGTTCATTCTTTCAAATTAGAGCATTGGTAGCGATAGCAAAACTGGGCATCAACTTTTCAAGCAAGCTACTGCGGTATGTCCTTCACACTTCCAAGTGGGGGTCATCTCCAACTTTTCTCATCACCTCTACTAATACGACTTCATTTTCCGAAAAGTGTATGCAAGGGGCCATAAGCACACCGAGCAAAATGTTACACTGTTCGCATGCAGAAACACATTGGCACTGATTAAATACGAACCCTTAGCCGCCAGCATCCTAACCATTCACCGTAGAAACTTTTTTGCTCTCGAAGTTTTGTCTCGCTGCTCTCACAGCAATTTTCCTAAAGGATTTCCATCTCGAACAGGCGGCAACGTCTTTGCGGGCGCGATATCTGACAAGGTGGAGGGAGCATGAGAGAGCGTTACTGACCTTTTTGATAAAAATGCTTTCAGTTACTGACTTTTTCCAAGTTTTCCTGATTCGTGTGCACCACATGCTCGAATTATATCTCTCTTCGGCGGCAGTATCTTGGATAAGACGATGATGCTAGGATATTCAGAAAAGTTTGCCGGAAAGGTTGACAGAAGTTTGGCAGATGATCGGGAAGGAGGGGAGTAAGAGAAGGTATAATTTGAGAATGGCGGACGTGTTTGCAGAAATTCTTTCCGCCGATTGCAGGAAGTGTGTCCTCGTTTCAGCCAATTCATTGCCGTGTGAGAGCGAGTCCATGATCTCCAATGATATCAAATCAATTATCCTGGCGCATTCATTGATTACCCGCTATGTTACCTGTGGCTCAGCCAGCTTGTAAGAAGTACCTGTTTTTGGCGCTGTTTGTCGACGGGGGGGGCATTTTGTATTATCATTGCTTCCCTAGTTTTCCGCTTAACAATTCTCCACTGCTGTACAACTTGTTGTCACTCTTGTGATAGCTGAAGTAAGATCGTCTAGCCACTATCCTAAAACGTGTCAACTCGAGAAACGGCTGCCTAGATGGGTCGACACATCTATGGAAAGCAAAATGCCCCCCCCCCGTCGACAAACTGCGCCCCTGTGTTTATTATGCAGGTATCTTTTTTCGGCCACTGCGAATCGCTGTAGTCTCAACCGCCGTCAACTCTTCGAAGGTTTTCAGTTTTTTTTTTTCACCAAATTCCGGGCATATTACAGTTCTTTACGTGTTTGCCATCTATCCTGCTAACGCTATCAATGGAAGCCAAAAAAATTGATTCTCTTAAGCCAAGTCCCTTTCGTAGCCCGTGCGCCATCGAACTCGAACCCCGATTGAGAATCGAAGCTCAGTAGACATTCTGTGAAAGGCTGACGTCTTGCGTCCCGTAGCTGCGGACCATTCACCTAACTCACGTTCTCGTTGTACCCCAAGTAGCAGTGCTGGGCCCAATATTGCCCAAACGAGGGGTGCAGGGGCAGGATTTGTTCCTTGAAGATTTGTGTAGTAGCGGCACTGCTTATCACTGCACCACCATCCACGCGTACTACATCCTGTGAGACCGATAATGTTGCCGAATTTTGGTCTCTTTCGATGATAGATGAAAATTGAAATAAACCACAACTTGTAGAAGTTTCGTTCTGCAACATGACGAAATTTCTATTGGAACTTTATTTTCTTTTTTATG